ATGACCCGTATAGAATCACAGTACCCATGTTTTTGGGATGTGGTGTAAAAAACGTTCACAAGGTGAACAGCTCTATTACATTTAGTGAATTATTTCCTACAATCTAGCCTGGAATAAAATAACATACTTCAAAAATAAGGCTTCATTCAATAGGCAAAACTGATTCAACACTGACGTATTTGCAGAGATGAGTACTAAGATTATAATTTATATAGGGTCGTGATAAAAAGATTTCCAAAGAGGACATTTTGTAGAGCAATACAAAATTCAACAGTTATAGAAGACATGTTTGTTTTTAACTTTTTATGAAGTGTTCAATGAAATAAAAAAGAAATATGCATGTTACATTCAATTTTTAAGTCTTATAACGTAAACATAGAAAATCCCTTTTTAGTAAAACAAGCTTTTTAACTTTCCAAAGAACCAAATATCTTGGTTGTCTGGGAACTTCACAATCTCTACCAAAGATAGAGAAGCCCATACTATCGCCGGCAGATAGTAATCTAATTGAAGCATTGAATGATTCTGCAAGGTTTTAAATAAGCCCTCAACATTTTTGTAGGTAGTCTGGAGGTTTCATAATTTATACCATTTGTCTCAGTGAACACTGAGTTTAGTGGTAATGTCTGCGTTCCAACATTCAAACAATTTAGTATCTGAAAACACTATTTACGGAAACGTGTATTGCTAATGCCACAGGGCAGGCAATATCCGATGCCCAGGGGATCGTCAACGATGACATATCTCCAGCGTCGCCCAGTCCTGCAAGCGGCGAGGCCATGCGATGGCCATAGAAGCCTCGCAGCAATGCCAGTCTGACCAACACCGAGGGCAACATCAACCCTGCCTCCCTCAGGCAGAGCGCCGAAGGCAGCAAGGAAGCAGGGCTTCAGATCTGGTTCGTAGCATAGCGATCAGTCACCACCATCATCGTCATCAGGAAAAGGTCAGTGCTTTTGTTGATTCTCAAGAACATAAAAATAAAATTTCCGATAAAAACAATTCTGGTGATCCGTTTGATCCAAGTAAATATAACTATAAATTTAACAACTGTTTTGGTGCATTGCGGGATGGTGTAGCTTCACCAGAAACCAACCGTTTCCGATACCTCAGTGAAAACCCAACTGAACAAATTTCCAGGCTAAAATCCCTCAATTTTCGTTTCCTATCAAGGAGCTTAAAAATAAAGTGACCAGTGAATTTGTAGCAGACTTCAGAAACAATAAAACAAAAATAAGAGCCAACTCCTCAAAAGATTTCCATGAACTTGTTAAATATTTCTTAGAGACAAACAAAAGCTTCCATTCTTTCAAGGACCCTTCCAATAAAAAAAATCAGTGGTGTTAAAAAATCTGCACCAATCCATGACAGATTCGGATATCTTTACAGAATCCAAATTACGCCACCCATTAATTATTAAAATCACGAGACTGCAAAAGGACAACATCCCAATTCTGGTCGTTGCGACCGAGTTTAGTGGCAATGAACCTTTAGACACAATTCGTACAATCACCCATATATGCAATCATCGTGTGCCTACAGAAAGACGTCGGAAACCTAAAGAATCCCACAATGTAAAACACTAAATAGCACCTCCGAAATCAATCTGGCTGTATCCCACATCAATACGCGAATCCACTCTACTATGGAAGACACCCAACTAAATAAGTCACCAAACAACCATAGTAATAAATACAAAAAAAATACCGTCTGATATATTAAATGCAATCTTGATCAAAAATAAACCAAAGAGACAATGGAATCACCTAAGAACAAGAAACTAACCAATCACAACCACCAACAATACCAAGCATTGTTAACTTCACCCCATACAAACAACAACTCTTTATGGCAATTCACCAACAGAATATTGGAAAAGAATGCACGATACTTCCAATGAACACCTTAACAGGTAAAACATACACATCTGTCGAAAAATCTGAAGAGTTGGTATCCCACTTCGCATCAACGTTTATGTACATCTCAAAACCACACCCTAAACAAAAAACATAAACGAAAGCAACGAAGCGACATCCTACGGTTCACATCACAACATACATTTCACCAATCACATCATCTATCAACTTCTTCTCAAACATAACTCCAATTCCTTTACTATCAGTTCATAGACTCGGCAAAACCCCTTTACATAGAACCAGAATACAAAATAAATTTCCCTATCACAGATTCGTCAACAAATTCTTCGAACTAGATGCCGACTAGAGGAACCTGATGGGTAACCTCATCTGTATTAGTTTTAATTTTTAATTTAAATCGGCTATTAAGCCATCCAGCATATGAATAGTTAATTTGAACTGAGCTACGCATTCACCATCAGTGTAAATAAATGAAGGGAAAAAATGCACTTGCCCTCGTATAGTATAATGGTTCTATGGAATGTTCCCAGAAAATTCAAATTGTAAAGTATTATAAACTGACATTTAATATTAAATGTCTATTACAAATACCACAATAAAACACTTAGGTTCAATGAATGACCTTGTTTCATAGTATATCGAACTCTAATAATTCTCAAACTCTAATATTCTATTCATTGAATCACTGAAAACAAATCAATTGAGGAAAATACGACACTTATCAAAACTATGGTTATATTTTCAAAATTACATTTAAACGATGTTTTCCTTTAATCAATATACAATCATTTTTATAAATAAAAGACTAATCACTAAGAAAATTGTCAATTGTCGATAATACTTGAAACGAAAAAAACGGTGTAAGCTAATGATTTTCATGCGCTAAGGTCAGAAAAGTATAAATTCCTGTTTCTTGTTTGTATGTTAAGAGTCTAAATTATTTTTCTTTTCATACAACTAAACTTAACATTAAACTGAATATTCCGTTGAAAAATAAAGTCTATATTTATGTTGCTGACTACATTTTTCTCATATTTCCATTTTACAAGAATATTCCCGATTTATTATTGTCGAAGGGCATTATGTAGTTTTTGTGGGTGATGTTTATTTTGCTCGAAAACTACAAAGAAATCGTGAGATTATAAAATTGAATTGAAAGTAGGCCCGGAAGAAACGCGAAAGCCAATAACATAGTTTGCCAGCAGAGTGGCAGCAGTCCGTAATGCTATTGACAACTTTCCTTCCTTCTTTCTTCTTCCATTGAGACAAAAGAAGACGAGCAGAAAGTTTGGTCTGGGAACTCGTGTGTTTTGGAATCCAGTTGTTCACAATTCGAGAAAAAATCTGCATTCTGTATGTATTGTGAATCTGGATAATTTCAATTTTATTTTCATTACTCTGCTTATTTTTCTAAATAACCTTAATTAGTGAAGTTATACTTAATATACGGTAGTGAACGAATTTAGAAAGACAATTTTATTTTTCAAACAGTGCAGTTACTGATATTAAATAATTAAATAATATATTATAATTTTACATTCTTTTTCTGTTTAACGAAACAATTTATATTTATAACTGTTTTGATTCTCAAGTATTAATAATTTGTTTATTATCTTTTTACCATAAAGGAAAGCATTATTTTTAACTGCAAAGTTTTCTGCATTGATAATCCACGATAGTTACCTCTATTTTCAACTGTCTGTCCGTACAAGACGCGACAGCTTGCGAACGGGCCAGGGCCTATCAGCAGCGTCCCAGTCTCACGGCCATGGGTTTAAGGGGTATGAGTGGTTAGCAGAAAGTCATCACTATGCCGTATTCTGGTCTTCTCAACCTGAAAAGTGAATTTTTCTCATCGTCACACAGCAAAATATTCTGGGATATTGCTAGGAAAATGCGCACTATAATTTTGTGCGACCGGGAATCGAACGCGGGGCCGCGTCATGTAAAGCGAGCGGACCAAAGAGCTAAACCGCGAAGGCATTTTTAATAGTAAACATGATTATTTCGATAACCAAATATTTTAAACAGACTTGTATGTAGCACATTTTGCTAAATTCGGTTTCGTTTATAAACGAAGTCTCCTCTTTCACGTACAAAAAAAACAAAGCTAAAATGCAATTAACTTCTCAGTAATGTGAATTCCATTCACTTTACGAAACAAATATGAATTCCAGTAATGCGAATTTCATTTAAGCGAAAATATGAATTATCATAGTGCAATTTATCGTAGTTTCCGTAGGCTCAGTGAATTAAGAGCACATGCACCCCTACCATAAATTCGAGCACATACGACAGTATGTAAAATATGATTCAGCACTGTATAATATAAAACTCTGTTGGTACAAATTATTTTAAGCTCTCCACTAACCGACGAATGCTCATTTCCTTCTTACTTGTGACCGATGTTTCCGGTTTCAAAGAGCACTTCCGCCGGTCCGGGTGGTCGAGATCTGTAAGGCAGTAGAGCCGCAGCGATCTCGGACTGAAGGATCGCGGGTTCGAGTCTCATCTCGGGCATGGTTGTATTGTGTTCGTCCTTTCACACCCCTATCGTCATCATATCGTGTCATCCTCATAGTTATACCGTTACACGCAATAGTGTCCGCTAATGACCTAGATGTTGATGCGACCTTAAATAACAAAAAACAAAACAACAACAACAACAACAAAACAGAGCACTTCCGACGGCGTGCTCCGTAAATGGGTGTCCGCAATTCGCGTCGAGAGTGACAGTATGCCTTGCGGAACATTAAAATGAGGAACCATTCACGGCGG